TCAGTTATTTATGTGGCACGTAGGAATTGTATGCTTGGTGAGTTTTTCAACATGCTTGCTATTTTTGTGAATTTGGTTGGTGCAGCATATAAGTATGTAGATGCGCTTCGATCAAGTTATCATTCTAATATTCTAGAGAAGCTTCATATTGGGAAAATTTCTAGTAGAAGTGGTCAATTTCAAAAACTGAGTTTAGCCCTCCCAGGTGATACTAGATAGGGCTCACATCTACTGACAAACTCGTTTTATTAATATGTTTAATGTTATCATAGATGTTCTTGAGAATATATCAGAAGATGGCATAAATTCAGATAAAAAATCAATGGCCATAAGACAGATGGACATTATGCAAGATTTTAAGTTTGTGTTTAGTCTCCACTTTATGTTTGAAATTCTTGCAATTACAGATAACCTTTTACAAACCTTACAGAAAAAGGATCAGGATATTCAGAATGCTATGAGGTTATTGAATTTGTGTAAGTGTGCATTACAAAACATGAGAGACAATGGTTGAGATACTTTGTTGAGTGGGGTGATTAAGTTTTGTGTTAATAGACATATTTTAGTGCCCAATTTGGNAATTTGTGTAAGTTTGCATTGCAGAACATAAGAGATAATGGTTGGGATACTTTGTTGAGTAGGGTGATGGAGTTTTGTGTTGATAGACATATTTTAGTGCCCAATTTGGAGGATATTGTAGTAGTGAAAGGTCAACCTAGGCGTTGAGCTCTGTATGTGACTTATTATCATCACTTTTATGTTGATTTGTATTGTCATATGATAGACTCAATCTTGTAAGAGTTGAATGATCGTTTTTCAGAAACAATTATCGAGCTCTTTAATTGCATTTCGTGTTTAAGTCCAAGAAATTCATTTGTAGCTTCTGATCAGGCTAAATTGCTACGTCTTGCTCAATTCTATCATTTGGACTCCAATAGCGAAGAGCTTTTATTACTTAGACCTCAACTTGACAAGTTTCTTATACTTGTGAGAATTGACGAAACTTTCTTTAACCTCTATAGCATATCTTGTATAGCTCTGAAGATGGTTGAAACTGGGAGTTACTGGTATTTTCTGTTGGTTTATAGGTTGATCACCTTGGTTT